GAGCAAATCGATGATCAAAAGGAGGGCCTTTACCTTTACCTTTACCTTTCATAAAAGTAGTTCACATTACAGATAATATTCAAACACCAATCCCACCACCAAGCACCTTCCCATCTCAATAAGAGGGAAGAGTGTGAAGGTTGTTGTATTTCATTCTGGAGCTATTTAAGCAGAATAAAAGAGAATACAAGCAAGTATGCTAAAACCAAACAAATATGTGCTACTTTTTTTTTTTTTACTTTTTATTAGTGAGACACCATGAGGTACAGTTGTAGACTTACAAATTTTGTGCTTGGGTTTCAATTATACAATGATCAAATACCCATCCCTCCACCAGTGCCCATTTCCCACCACCACGGATCCCAGTATCCCTCCCAACCCCCATCCCCCCTACTTTTGATGAGTAAGTGAGATAGCATGTAAGAAGTCATGCAGTCGCAAATGCAGCCACACACTCCAGGAAATTCTGCGGTGCTCTCTTCCAGGAGCTTTAGTTTATGGTCTCTGGGGTCTTAGCCGTTGATGACATTACAGTGTGCTGGGGGCAGTTTGTGGGTGTCACTGCCAAGCCACTGGAAAACTGGAGAGCTGGGGGGGAGGAGATCCAGTCCTGGTCCGAGAAAGCTTGGAGGTATCAGTCATGGGTACCTGCATACCTGGATTTTCTGCTGTCCTCTCTTGAGTGAGATTCATCCCGTCTTGGGTGAGGCTCGTCCCCTCTTGGGTGAGGCTTGTCCGAGCATGTGGAGAGTGGCCTTGAGCATGGCAGTGGTTGGGTTCTGGACAACGTACGTTTTTCCATAGTAATTACTGTCAACAATGCATGATACACTGTATTTATTTATTATTTATTTATTTATTTATTTTTGTGTTTTTGGTCACACCCAGAGATGCTCAGGAGTTACTCCTGGCTCAGCACTCAGGAATTACTCCTGGCAATGCTCCGGGGACCATGTGGGATGCCAAAGATTGATCCCGAGTTGGCTACATTTAAAGTAAACACCCTACCCGCTATACTATCACTCCGGCCCCTGCACGATATACTTTGTCTTTGTGTGTTGAGCTATTGCTACTTTTATGCACAAGAGTAGGGATATTTATTCATTAATTTGGCTTCTCATGTAGTGCTGTGGGGGTGAGGGGGCAACTACTAGCAAAACTCAGCCAAACTGGCCACATGGTTCAAAGCTTGACAGAGACACAATGCTGCTTGGATCCAGCGGGGCCAGGAATCACTGGAGGGGGTTCACAGTCCTCTAAGGTTATATTTGGTCGCACTGGGCAGAAGAGGGAGGTCAAGTCTAAGTGAAGACGGGACAGAACTCAGGTCCTTGAGTCTGCAAGACACGTGCCCCTGACCCTTGAACCATCTCTCTTTTCTCCTCTGTTTTCCTTTTAACTAAGCACAGATACACCCCAAATATATTTTACCTAAAACAAAACAATAATTATAATTTGCTTAATAATGTGAAACACCAATAATTTTGATAAAAAAATGTTAATGCTTTCTAACATAGCCATGGCAGGTTATAATCCACCCAGACAAAGAAAATAGGTTACTTGGAAAAATTCATGGGCTGATTTGTGAGGAAGAATACCTTTGAGATTCTGTCACACCATAAAGCAAAATAAGAGGCACTGTTCTTTTTTTTAATTTAAGACATGGATATTTAGACAAATTTGCATAATGCCAAAGGATTGTAAATATTTCTGGCAAGAGAACAAGTAATTTATTATATTAGAATGCCGAGGGAAGTTTTCAGGTACCAATGAAGAACTTTAAAGCAACTTTTAAGAAAATTGGGAATCAGTGAAAGGAAAAATGTCCGATATTAGTTGATGATTCAAGAAATGGGACTTGAGTGGGGTGTAAGGAGGGGAAAAAAGAGGAAGAGAGTTGTGGTTTGCAATAGAGGTATTGAGTGACCATCATGTTCGGTCTATAGTCTACTTTCAACACGCATCTTTCAACCTGAATGGGTCCTTCCAACATTCTTTACTTGGTGTTCCCTTCTCTATCTTAGCTACCTTTTCCCTGGTGATTTACTAATAAAAAATTTAATAAAAAATGAAAAAAAGAGCAAGAGGAGGAATGTGCTAGAATTTCCCCATTAAAATGGTCATTTTTATGTATTTTGAGAGCCAAGTAACAACAATGATTTTTGAGAGAAATATTTGTTGAATGCAGATTGAATATATTCAGCATAAAGAAAAAATACCATTGGTAATAAAGAAAAGATTTGCTGTAGAAACAATAAGGTATCTTTATTAAAGATTTATCTAGGCTGAAGCAATCTCAATGATTTCAGTTATTCAGTTAAAAAAAATCCAATCAAATGAAAACTCACAACTTCTCTTTTTCATCTACTTCTTTTTATTATTTGTTGACAGACTCATATTATTACCATTAAGACTGAGTTCTTGTACTGAAAGAAAATTGTCTAGACTAAAAATAGTACAAAATGGGGTGTCAATTCTAATTCACCTCACTGAAAGTACTGCTTTCGTTTTGTTTTAATTTTTATTTTGGGTTGAGTAAAGGAATTGGACTGTGGAGGAAATGGAATTGTGAAATCAAAGCAAGGTTCAATCGTGAAGGGACTTTCAGACTCTGGTAAAGCACTTAGATTTTACCCAAGGGCAGTTAGGAACCATGCATAATTCTGATGAAAGACGTGATAGGAAGAATGTTTATGAGGTAAGCTTTGCTGTGGCTGCAATTTGATTGCTAAATTGGATGATAAGATTGAATTGGGGGGGGAAGTGAATGAGGAGACTTTAGCAGTGGTTTCTGGGAAGTAATGGTGTGCTAAAGGAGGCGGAAGATACTGGCAGGACAGATGAATTCCAAAAATGGGAGTTATGATACCTGGTAGTGATTTTGAGCTTGGTTACTGAGAGGGAGCTGGGAGTCAGAAATATCTCCCATTGTTTCCTTTTCTGAACATTGTAGAGAGTGATATTCAATTGAGAACACAGGAGAAAGCAGAGAAATAATTGTGGAAGAGGATGCTGAGTTTGGATGGGTTTGCCACACTTGGGAATGTCCAACTGTAACTACTATAACTACTACAGATGGTGTGGCTTGTGCACTTACTTCATTGCACTTCTGGAAGCTCAGTTATCAAAGATCAGGATGCAGACTGATTTTCTCTCTGGTGAAGATTTTTTTTCTGGATTGTGTCCTTCTTGCTATATCCTCACACACAGGGAAGAAAAGAAACTTTGGTCAATTTCCTACTATTATAGGGACGTATTCCACTTGGGGACTTCACTGTCATAATAACATCTAAACCTAATTTCTTCCCAAAGGCCTTATCATCAAATACCACAACTTTGGCAAATAGGATCTTAACAGAAGAATTTGAGGAATATGGTACACATTCCGTCTAACAGGGAGGCTTTGGATATACATAGTTACACTGAGCAGTTGGTTGGGATGGGATTTCCAGGGATATAGTCATAGTATGTGTTACTGCTGAGATGCTTCTGAACTGAGTAATTTCACTTTTGGCTATTGATAATAGTGCTTCTGTGAACATGTATTTATATGCAATTTTCTTAAATTTTGGTTCCTTGGACATTGCTGGAGCCAAATAGGTTTATAAAACTAGACTTTTCTATCAGACCAATTAAGAACCCACAGGAAGGTTAGGAAATTGTATAAAAAGTTGACTTAAACAGTCAGTGCTTTTGAGTATGTGGCATTCTCTCTGCATCTGGGTTAGTAAAATCAATGATAATTAAATAGACCATAAATGGTAAATTGAATAACTATATATGTATGTGCGTTTGTATATATATGTGTGTGTGTGTGTGTGTGTGTGTGTGTGTGTGTGTGTGTGTGCTTATAATTTCTTTTTAAGGAGGGAAGAGTCTATTACAAGTGAGTTTCAAGTTGTGTAGGAAGGCGTAAGAGATGAAAATTTGGATAAATTATTTTTTAAGAGAGAGAAAATGGAATTAGCATAGAGCTAGATGCCTCACAGTTAAATTATTATTTTTTTTAAGAAAAGACCAGGACTTGAGTTCTAGTTGGTGTTAAGGGAAAGAAACAGAAGCTGATGAACTTCTGTTTCTAAATTAGTGCCAAAGCAGCCATGGCACTAATTCAATAGCTAGCTGAATTTTAAAATTCAGATTGTATTTTCAAAATCAATTTTGCCCAATCCCAATAACCACTGAATCAATCATATTTCTTTTTATAGGCCATATTTCCTTACTAAGAGGTATCAGTGTGTATGGAAGAGGAATTTGGTTCAAGCTAGCTTCCTTGTAGTTCAGTTTAATTTTATCCATGGCATTTAGCAAGTTCTTTGGTGGAATAATAATTACATTTCCAATAAAATTTGGGAGTTTGAAAAGAGAAATTTATATGTTCTTTTCAGAAGTGTTACTTCTTCTGGAGATTTTGATTTGTAAAAAAAACTCCTTGCAATAGATGAGAGAACTGACAGCTCCCAAAGCATGCTCTCTGATTTAACCCCAAGGACATACCTAAAGATGAATGAGAGGAAATAATATTTGTCAAATGCTAGTTGTGTTGTTTCCATTGGAGCTTATTTAAGTGTTACTACAATCAGTATGTGATATGAACTTGGATTTACTAATTCCAAAGTGAGGTGTTTTCCCCCACTTTCTCTACTGCTAACTGAGTTCATTTTTGAAGAGAGAAATGTTGAGGAAGTCTACAAGACCAGCAAAAAGTATTTCTGATAATTAGCAGTAACTCCAGGAATATAGTAAGAGGACAAGGCAGGGTAGATTCTATGTGCATAAATTGCTTCTTCCAGAACTTTTCCTGGAAAGATTCCAGATGACTTATGTGGATAATGTTAATTTATCTCAACTAGATATCTGGGATAAACTCAATTGCAATTCTCAGTGGCATCTTTGCATTTTCTTCATTTACTTCTATGATTTCTATTCAGCATAGATGATCTCAACACACCAGCATCTAGGATTTATTTATTCATTTATATTATATGTATTTATTTCAGGCAGAGAAAGCTGATGGATTTGTCAACCTGCCTGATTTCACTGTGGAAAGAGCCTCTGAATGCAAGAAAAAGCAGTAAGTTTTCTGTTATTTCCCACAAAACTCTATCCCTGCACAATGTTCCTCAAATGATGTGGTGATTTGGTAGTTAGTGAAGGCCACACTCAAGTGTCTGAGAAGTTTGAGCACTATATATTGGTACCCTAAACAATGAAGCATTTAAACACCCTAAACAATAACAGAATCATCTTGTTTTTTGGAATTTCATTTTGTGGACCGGATGGATATTAAAACCCCATAGAGCCTTGGCATTGCATATTACTGACAACTGTTTCTGTGATAGAATTAAAAACAAGCGCTTGTCCAGAACTGACAGGGATGACAGATGTCAGGGTTTTGTCCTGGCAAAAACTAGTTAAATAGGACTCCCCAGAGTTGCAGTTATGACACCAGGACTAGTTCTGGTTAGTTTCTAGAAGCATCCATAGTACTTGAAGATCTGTGAGATGTCTTAGGCATGAAGAATACACTTCAATGTAGATAAAGTTCAAAGGATTTTAGAACCAACAGGAAGTAAGGACATCACCAAACTGTGGTTCTTCTCTTTTGTTTGTTTGCTTGTTTTTATTGGGGGGACGTACCGGCTATGATCAGGGCTTACTCCTGGCACTATGTCAGTGATCACTCCTGGCAGGGTTTGAAAGTCTATACAGGATGCTGGGGAGCAAAGTAGGTTTAGCCCCATGCAAAGCAAGTGTCCTGCCCACTGTACTATCTCTTTGGCCCCTGTGGTTCTGTTTTCATTGAGAATAGCTAAGATTCTGACCTCTCTGGAGTTCACTCGGGAGCTTGCTTTAAATCCACCTCTCTATACATCTAGTCAAGTGTTCTTCCTGTGATAGTAACCAACTGCAGTTGCAAAATGCCCTTTTCACAATTTCTTAATTTTCTTCTATTATTTTAGGTTCTTTTTTTTTTTTTTTTTTTTTTTTTGCTTTTCTTGGTCACATCTGGAAATGCACAGGGGTTACTCCTGGTTCATGCACTCAAGAATTACTCCTGGTGGTGCTTGGGGGATCATATGGAATGCTGGGAATCAAATCCAGGTCGGCTGCCTGCAAGGCAAATGCCCTACCTGCTGTGCTATTGTTCCAGTTCCCTATTTTAGTTTTTAAGCCATACCTGGTGATTCTTCAGGCTTACTCCTGCTCTGTGCTCAGAATTCAAACTGATGGGACTTATGGGACTATATGACATCTTTTTCCCCATCCTTTGTAGAAATGTATATTTCCCTGTTGGTCATTTACTCATAGCAGCAATTGATTTCTTTGTATCTAAGAAGCTTTAAGTCTTTTCTCCTCTGGTGCCACTGGACATATACAAATACATGGTGTGGGGTTTTGCTGCTTGTGGTTTTGACCAAAGCTGTTATTTAAAAAAAAATACAAGGCCCATACTGCAGGACTTCCGGTAAACTGGAAATACTTTGTATTTTGTTATCTTAAATTTTTCTATTAAAAAAATTACACAAATAATCATGACCTTATATCTTTCACTAACAGAGGGTGACCAGGACAAGGCTTTTGCTTTTTTGCATTGTGGAGGTTCTGTATATGATCATTTTCCTGTAAATATAATTCTTGCATCTATTTGATCAAAATGAATAAATGCTTGCTTTAAGGAATGAATCGGAGTATCTTGAAATTATACTTCTATTATTTACATTTTAATTGGTTGTATTTTTATTGCAAAGAAGTTAACAGATGAAAATGAAAGGATTTGTGTCTCTGTTTTAGGCAGAAACTATTGATCAGTCAACACATGGTCCTATTCTTTTATTATTTTATTTTTATATTTATTTATTTGGTTTTTGGGTCACACCCAAAATAAGATTTTTTTGGTGATTCTTAGGAGTTACTCCTGGCTCTGTGGTCGTGCTTGGGTACCACATGAGATGCCAGGGATCGAACCTGGGTCGGTCACATGCAAAGCAAGTGCCTTACTGGCTGTACTATCTCTCCAGCCCCCATTATTTTACTTTAAGGAACATACCGGGTGATTATCAGGCTTACTCCTGATTTGTGCTCAGAATTCACACTGGTGGGACTCATGGGACTATATGTAGTGCTGGGATTGAACTCAGGTGGGTTGTCTGCTAAGCAAACCCACTATACACTGCACTATTTCTTAATCCCATTTTGGTCCTATTCTGCATTTCAAGCATGACAAATTGACCCCTACTCTCTTTTAATTTAGTAGGGATTAGACAATATCTATATATTTAATGTAAAATTATTCTTAGTAAGTTTACAATGAAAGTAGGTAAATTTATAATACTTGTATTGACTGATTTACTTTTTATCCCATTGATTCCTACAATCGCTAATTTCTGTGTTTGTGCTTTTTTCTTTTTCAAGTGCTTTTAAGATCAGTCACCCACAGATCAAGACCTTTTATTTTGCTGCTGAGAATTTGCAGGAAATGAATGTGTAAGTACAGGAACTTGCTAAATCCACTTGTCATGGATATAGATTTACTTGGGTAAGATGTTGAATTTTCAGCATAAGTTTTGTTTAGACTTCTGCTTCTTTAAGGTTTAATCTTTCTTGTAGAAAAATTTTCTTGCTATGTTATCTAATATTTGCAAGTCCTTTAAAAAAGCAGACATATTAAATGAGTATTTTAGGAAAAAATAAGATTGTTTTAAGGGAAACACTTGTAAAAAAAGCGGGGGGGTTAATAGAAGTCATACAAGAAAATATTAAAATGTGAATCACCATCACAGAGAAAAAGATTAAGGTATAACTGATATTACAGCTTTTCAAAATTCTAAATGAAAAAATCTCTCTAAGCATTTCATATGCACTTATGATTATTATTATCTGTATGTTTACCAGTTCTTCAGATTCTAAGCTGAATATTTTGTTAAAAATTATAACTCAGAATATGTATAACATAACATTTTATGTCTTTAATACCATTTCCTGATTGCTATATTTAAATAATGGGGTATAGAGCAAAGTACTACCTGCCCTGTTCTATCCCTTTCTAGTTTAGAGCCATGTGTGATCACAATGGGTATTATTTTAGGGAGGTTATAATTTTATATGTATATCTATATGTATACATATATGCACACACATATATTTGAAGTGGCCAAGGCACAAGAGAACATTCTGCTTAATTTAAACCTTATTCTTAGTATTTCAGCATCTCTAATTTTCCTTGCATAGCTAACTAAAAATATATCAGTTGAACATCTTTTGCATGTCTCATTGTAGCAGATCATTGGCAACAGAAAAAACGAACAGAGATATAAATCCTTCATTCATAGAACTTATGACAATCTATTTTTATTTTAACCATAATGAATTTATCAGTTTTCTGTAATTTCTCTCTGTCTTTGGTCTTGAGACTTAAAAGGAGAAAAGCTTCTTTTGACCAAACACATGTATGCTTACATGGCCACATGTGATCACACACACACACACACACACACACACACACACACACACAAAGAACTTCTCACAGGATACCCATTAACAGTGCTTTCTAGCTGAAACCTTCACCTCTGTTCTTACACCTAAGTCTTGTTCTCAGCCCTTTCTTTAGATGAGGCCTGTTCACACAGAATGTTGGGAAACCTTGTTTTAGAAATTATAAGGCATAGAAAACAGTGTCCTGTAGATAAGCAGATACTATTCCAAACCTTTTTCTGGCATTATTTCTCCTACATTCATCATCTGAAACTATCAGGAGAAAGAAGAGCTATTTAAAGACTCTCCCTTGTTGCTCTTTATTTATCTCTTCATTTATATTGGTAACTGAAACCCTCTTGATTAGCAAGCCCTAGGTGTGTCAGTCGTGTGGAGAAGGCTTACAATCACCCCCAATGTTAGAGAGTTCATCTGGAGCGAAGGTATCAAATAATTCCCACTGGTCTTTCCTAACCTTTTCTGTTGGTTGTCAACACACTGTCACCCCATCCCCAGAGGCCTCACATTTCCCAAATAGCCAAAGAGCTTCTTGTCTCTCTAGCTTAATTCCTGCCTAATCATACACACCCACCCACCCACCCACCCACCCCCCCCCCACACACACATACACACACGCACACACACACACACACACACACACGTTTTCTTCAACAACAGAGGAGTGAGACAATTTTTTTTCATCTCTGCCGAATCACTGCTAAGTGTTTGATTACCAACTGTATCACCTCACCTCATACACCTCTTACTTTGGAAAAGATATTTGATAGCACAGCGGTAGGGCATTTGCCTTGCACGCAGCCAACATGGCCGACCCAAGTTCGATTCCTCCGCCCCTCTCGGAGAGCCCGGCAAGCTACCGAGAGTATTCGATATGCCAGACACAGTAACAACAAAGTCTCCAATGGAGACGTTACTGGGCCCGCTCGAGCAAATCGACGATCAACGGGAGGGCCTTTACTTTTACTATTTATTTATTTATTTATTATGTAGGAGTACTGCTATTTATTCAGCCACTGATTAGCTGATTGAATTGTGCATGAATTCTACCTTACTTTTTTCCCCCCATTTTTTATTTTTTCATTTCATTTTCATTTCATCATCCTGTTAATCGTCGATTGCCTCGAGCAGGCCCCAGTAACGTCTCATTCATCCTAGCCCTGAGATTATATTCAGGGCTCTTTAGGAGAATGAGACCCATCATTGTTACTGGTATTTGGCATATTTGGTAGACCACGGGGAGTTTGCCAGACTCTGCCCTGTGGGCAGGCTACATTCGACAGCCTGCAAGTTTGTCCAAATTAGGAATGAGATAATAAGATGTCGCGCGGCCGCGAATGCGGCCGCGCGGTTCCGGGATCTGGATTTTATAGTCTCTGAGTCTTGGCCGCTGATGGGATTACACGGCGCCAGGGGGCCAGGTGGTGGGTGTGAACCCTGCCTACTGGAATTTGGAGGATCTGGGTGGAAGATGCTCGACTCCAATTCGAGTAGGCTTGGAGGTCTCGGCCCCGGAACCCGCGTGGCTTTGTCCCTCTGCCAGTACCTTCAGGTGTGCGGAGAGTGGTCTCAGCATGGTGGTGGCTGGTCCTGGAGGTCTCCGGCTGCCGTAGCCCTGGCCGGGGCGGGGAGGAAAGCTCAACCCGCTCCCCTCCAAGGGACTCCGGGAAGGAACACCGAGGCGCGGGGGCAGAGACCCCATTTTTTATAATTTTATTTATTGAGTCACCGTGAGAGCAGTTACAAAGAATTCGGGTCTAAGTCTCACTCATACAATGATTTTGAATCACCGTGAGATATAGTTACAAAGCTTTCATGTTTAAGTTTCATTCGTACAATGATTGAACACCCATCCCTCCACCAGCGCACATTTTCCACCACCAATGCCCCCAGTTCGTTCAGGGTCAGGTGAATGAGACCAGTTGTAGTTTGAATGATCGGTTTGAGGCCCTTCATGTTCCCGGAGCGAACAGATGCCATTGGGCTACACTAGCACGTGACAGGGACAAATGGAGACGTTACTGGCGCCCGCTCGAGCAAATCGACGACTAACGGGAAGTTAAGTGATTAAGTGAATGTCCCCAGTATCCCCACCATCATCCAAGCCCTTCCCCCCCCCCCCCGACTCTATAGCAGACAATTTCCCTCATACTCTCTCTCAACTTTTGGGCATTATGGTTTACTTGAATTTTCTTGCCACCATTCAAGCCTGCCTGCCAGGGGAAGATGCTAGATATTTTATTTTCTATTGCTTATTATAAATATCATGAGAGGTTGCATGCTTCTCGAATTCTAAAATTGTAAATGGTTGGGATCCAGAGACATCTCTGTAGGGAGCTATTCCATTGTGAGATTCATTTGGAAGTCTCTGGACCAAGGCCATTGATGCGCTGAGATGGCGCCCAGAGGAAGATGGTGGGCGAGACAGCCAGGACCCCCAGCAGGTGGGAAGACTAGGAGAGCAGCCCTGTCTCCACTGCCGCCATAAGGCCTAGAATCTTAGTCCTGCAACCTGTGTACCTGGGTTTTGCTTCTGGAAGCTCGTGGCCTCCGGGATTTCATCTGGATTGGGCAGAGAGAGTACCCATGCTCCGAGGTACCCAGGTGGAATTAGCTCAGTATGGGGTCCAGAGAGATCTCCAACGAGCTGCTGTCTTCTGGGATTTACTGCTGTGTCTCTGGATCAAGGCTGTTGATTCCGAAAGAACTATTCTTAAGGCAATAAGAATGCAAAGCTCTTGCATGATTTTCTAAATCTGTGCTATATCAGGGGAATTTGCCATATCAATAACACAGAACACTTATTTTGTTCTCCTCTCACCCATCTCTAATTTTTGCTTATATGCCTAGTCTATTTTTTTCTTGCTCTCCCTTTGTGGATTTCTACCTAACAGCAAGTAGAGTTTCATGAGTCTTCGGCATCCATACTACATATGTGACCTGCATGCATGGCTGACTTTTAAATCAAAGATTTTCAAAAACAATATCTTACTTGCCATCTCTGCTGTGAAGAGTTCAATATCTATTCATTTAGTATGTCAATATTTGTTATTAACAAATCAAGTTATTATTTACAAAGAATAGTATTATTCACAAATAATAACAAGTATGGTAGTATTTGTTATCTTATTGCCTTAAAAACAAGATGTCACTTGAAAATTGAATCTCAAGGTGTCCTGTTCCCATGGTGTGGCATCTTTGAATGACCTTCATATTTGAAACCTCTCAATCTGGCTACATATAGGTACATGTCCATCTGTTCCTGCAGGTATCCTAGTTTCCTTTACATATAATTTTTACATTTAAAAATTTAAGTTTCCTTTACATATAATTTTATTATTAACTCCCACTATTTAAAAGATTTTTTTCTTTGTTTTTGGGTTCGGGGTTACACCCAGTGGTGCTCAGGGATTACTCCTAATTCTGTGCTCAGGGATCACTTCTGGCAATCCTGGGGAGCCAATTGGGATTGGCTGTATGCAAGGCAAGTTTCTTAATTCCTGTACTATTTTTCTGGCCTTACAGATTTATTTTTGAGTGTCCAATAGCACAGAATCTCTTTGGGTCTCAGCATTTTGAGGAGGCTGTTTTGGCTTCTCTTACAAGAAGCAGGTGTGTGTGTGTGTGTGTGTGTGTGTGTGTGTGTGTGTGTGTGTGTGCGTGTGTGTGTGTTTGTAGGGATTGGTGGGGTGGTCCTTACAGATTCATCCTGCAGTAACATCTGAAAAGCTTCTTCCTTCCTGACTGCTGTGGTTGGTTTCATCCAGACATTGATGGATCTGGGTATTTTTCAGTGAGAAGCAGAAATATTGGAGAAGGTGGGGGTGGCCTCTGGAGTGATGGGTTCTGTTTTAGCTCTGCTCGGATAACTGAATTTTGGGGGTGGTGACATTTCTCTCAGGGACTACGAAGGGAGAGTAATTAAGTTTAATAGAAATGCTGTGTGTTCTGCAGGGACCCTCAATTTAAAAGCACAGGGCTAAGCAATTAAGGAT